GGAGGGGGAATGACCCAACCCATATCCAAACTCCAAACTCTATCTCAACACTCAAAACTGAACGATGAGCCCTCCTGACCACTATGGGGCAATTATTTGGGGACTGTATGGGGACGCTCATTCTCCAACTCACCATCCGTAACAAACCGAGAGAACAGTTTTCGATGATAACTATTGAACCCTAACCCTACACCGCGCAGTGTTGCGTTCCATTCAGGTGGAAAAAGGCACCTCTTATAAATGAAACGACCCTCCCCCACACGAACACTGAATCCCAATAAGGCCCGTTTTGAGGGAGTAATCCCTAAGCCTTGAAACCCAAACCGATCAACTCCGAGGCAAGATCGAGAAGTACGCCCGGAGTGGCAAGCCCACCCCGAAAGGCATGGTCATCGACTCTACCGGTGAGGTCGGGGGTTGGGGTTTAGGGCTTAGGCCCCGTTGTTGAGGCTATCGAAGCTTTGAGGAGTAGAGTCTAGTAATGAGACCATCACCCGAAAGTAAGGTACTTCTTTCATGATTACCATGGGGTCCTACCTGTGGGGGCTGGGGGTTCTTAAAATTCTCTCAGTTTCAGGGGTTGAAGCGATATGTGAGATAAGGTTTGGTCATGATTTTGTTTTTCTTCATTCCATTCCCTAAGCCCTATAGATTGGGCTTTGTAGTTGGGTATGCAGACCGGATCTCAAACTTTAAGATCCTGAATCCTTGGGCCTTCAGCTGTAAATTCTAAGCCCTCAGCCCACCTGAAAGTTTTTTTGATGTAGTAAGTCTTTTTAGTAATAGGGGTGCTGGGCTCGTAGTAGGTGTTCTTTGGAATAGTAAGTACTCGGCCGGGAGAGCCTCCAAGCAAGCCGCAAACCCTGAACCCTAAATCCTAAATTCCTTGGTGGGGAGGAGCGCACCGACACGGAGGGCATTCTGAAGGGAATGGTCAAGGGTGACTGTGCGCTGTGCCCCATTGGAGGACTGTGGAGTAGAGGCTCTATTACTTGTTTGAGGGAAATTGGAATAGAAAATGGAAATTTCTCAAGGCTTCAGGGTTTCGGACGTTCAGGTTCAGGGCAAGATCACTGCTTCCAATTGTATTTATATCCCACGTATGGCTTTAAATGGCTTCCATCTGCGCTTTGCTTTAGGCTATAACTGTCCTGAACGTCTATGGATGGTGGGTGAGAGTCAGGGATAGGGTTTTGAAGGTTCAGGGTCTAGGGTTTAGGAGAAGAAGAGCCTGAACAACTGCGTATAATATGCCAGCATAGTCCTTGCATAGACTTGGAGTCATAGAAATTTTCGCACGGGTAGTTCCCTTATCCGGGAAATTCCTCGAACTCGTTACAACACGGGTCCCCATATTTGGATTCCTTTATACTTGGATTCCTTTTGCAGTATGGGTTCCTGTATGAAAGTCTCCCATTTTGGGAATAGTAATGTAGGCCGAGTCCCATACAGGCCTTGCGTACCTTCCATTCTCGCAATGAGCGTGGCCACCTGCTAACTGCCCAACCTGAAAATATCCTGAAGCTACCAGAAGGACCCTATATTTAAGAGTCATACGACAGCTATATAGGCTCCTCATTTCGGGATTGGGGCACTTAAGTCCGCTTGTTCAACACGCCGCTGCTCCTAAGGAGTATGCCTGGAGCGTTCGTCTGCGTAGTTGCTAGTTCGGGCACTATACCCTCAATAGAGAGGAAGATCATGTCCTCTTTTCCGGTATAGCATTGAGTTCCCAATACACCTTACTTGAGGAAGATACCTTAAACACTGTCAGGGTTCCTTGATTAACGGGTATCGAGCTCCCTGAATAAACTTACTTGGTTCAACACGACGACGACCCCAAAAACACATTCCTTTGGGTATTTGCGGAAATCGAAGTTCAACTCCTGATTTACTGAAAAGCATGCCCCAAAACCCTAAACCTTAATCC